TTCAAAGTTGTGGCAGGAGAGTTTGAGGGTGGTCCTTGAGGCAACCGACACCCACCTCAGGGGTTTCACGAAGCAGTCGAATGTATCCCCCTTATGGTGCAGACTAAAGCTGCATGTGAGCAGGCATTTGAAGCCAGACAGGCATGTAGTCCAATATAAGATATCACTCCAAGAAATCCTTGCCTCTCACATGATCTCTCAATGGCATTTGCAGAGATCTGTGCTCAGGCTGTCTACCTTGTACACATACAAAATCCAGTTGCAGTGGATGGTGTAGGATTAGGTTGACTCTTCTCACTGTTCTTGGACACATATGTATCCATGGAATGTCCATGTTTCTCATTACAGTATTTGAGCCCCTCACAACTATATGGAAGTATTATTTTACAGGTGGGGAACCAAAGCGGAGAGTGCCTGAGTGACTTGACAAAGCTCATTGAGAAAGTCTCTGGCAGAGCAGAGAAATGATCCCAGATCTCCCAGATATGTACCTTAAATTCTAGAAAAGCCTTCCTCCCATAAGGAGCTTCTGATCTTCTTGCTAATCAGCATTTACTTATTGAGGTCTTCATGTCTCTGTCTTCTCTCTCCCTCTTTTCAGTGTTATGTGAAGCTGCCTGGGGTAGGAGTGTGGAGAGTAGGGAGATGTTGTGGACTTTCACACTGCCCATATGTTAAGATCCATATTTCTACCTCTCTTTCTTGGCAGATGAAGACAGTACTCTTTCCCAGATGTTGCAGTGTTTGATGGAAATAAGCAGTTGGATCAATGTCAGATTCAGTCCAAGAATGACAAACATAATAGTGAGCATTAACTTCATTCTTTGTTAAAGGCTTTTGTCCTTAGACTGTCAAGACAAGAAACACTCTCAGAACTTCAGTTGGCCTATCACGGCTCCTTAGAAAAAAGATAGCAACATTAGCAAGAAATGCCTTCTACAGTTTTCAACTGGTCAAAATACTTTTTTCAATCTGAGGAAGATTTCAAAACAGCGCTCCACAAATTTATCACCTTTTGATTAAAGTTTCATTACACCCAGTTTCTGGGGGTGAATGGGACAGCCCCATGGAAGCTGTAGATAACAAGACCTGCAGCAGTCCATCTGTTAAGTAATAAGGATCCAAACAGCATGTGACACTTTCCAGTAAACTTCTGATCCACTTCAGAGTGCTCAATGGACTGGAGTCTAGCTGCCTTACAGACAGTCCGTCCATCCATGAATCACTGAGACAATTGTACTCTTTGGGTAGGTAAGTCCATGATACATGGTGCTCTCAGTGTAGGTCTTTGGCTAGGGTTATACTTACCATGGGAGAAAAGGATTAGACTGGGCCATGCTATTCTTCAAGGTGTCTGCAAATATCCCCAATGACAGACTGATCTCATATATCTGTCAGGAAGTTTGACTCCTTCTCCCTCAAACTTCCCTTTTAATAATCTTTGGAAAAATAAAGTAAAAGGGCAGAAAATGGCATTCTTCACACACAGAATACTGTAATTTTTGATGGTACATATAATGGTGAGATAATGCAGTGATAGGTGCTTTAAAACTCCCTGCAAGAGAAAGATTAAATATACTTGCCTGAGGCCAGACAGCAAGTGAAGTGAGAGCCAGGATTAGAACTCACGGGACCCTTTTCCCCAGTGTTGTGCTCACATTACAAGAACATGCTGACTCATACATGTGTGGGGAGATATAAATTCCAATTCATAACTTGTTTTTGCAAGTTAAAATTATAAAGCTGAATCTGTGACATTGCAACCATTTCCCTGGCAACAGGGCAATGTCACCAACAGCCCTGTTGACGTTAACACTGATTTAATTTGAAGGAAAAACTGAACAGACGTGATTTCATTTGAAGGAGGCTGTGAGCTTAACTCCAGAACACTTCTGCATTTATAATGGAAATACACATAGTCACCAGTGTGCATGTGGGAGCCACACATGCACCTGAAGGCAGAACTGGTACCAGATATAAATACATGTTAAACAATCCCAGGCTAAAGATGACTGGTGACATTTGATTTCTGCTTGATAGTGTGGAAAGTACTATGGCTCTTGATGATCCATGCTGAGTAGGATTGAGACATGTTAGTAAGATGATGTAAGGAAAGTTTACAGGGCTACAGTCAATGTGTCCAATCACTGGTTAAATAGGAAACCTAGCTATTTATATGACATCTCTGGGAGCTAAACTTTAGATATGTACAAACAAGCAAAGTGAGGGGAGTTAAAAGGGACAGGGGGCTTACTACATGTCGGCTGTTCTGTGGTAACTGTGCAGGTGCCCACTCTTACCCTGTACTATACAAAAGCTAAACCATGACACTTTGGCCCTGTCTCATTGAGGGCTAAGTTACCTCCGTTTAGCATCCACAAGTTAAAGGGTAAAGGTGGGCATATGGAAAGAACAGTGCATCAGCTGCTTTGTGGTAAATCCTCACCTTGTTTTCCAATGCTGTAATGTGCTTGTTTGTTCATGTCCCTATGTGGTGTGGAGGCTCATGAGAACACCTAGATAGAGAAATTATCTCAAAAATTAAAAAGTTCAAGTTGTTAAATGAAATGATGACAATATTTTCCTTGGGAGGTTAGAACCCTGTTACAAACAGCACAAATGTATCTGCTGCACAAGTGCAAAGATAAGAATACCAAATTCTGGACAGAGTTAAATAGTCAAAAAAAATATTGAAAACAAAATTAGCAGTGCAAGTGAACACAATGTTTTCATCACACTGATTTTCCAAAGGCAACTGATTTCCCTTTTTCCTTCCTAGAATTTTTGAGCCCAAAGTAAATTACTCAAAATTGATCAGATCTTTAGTTGTTTTAAATATATACCATTATAATTGGACACTGAAGTCAATGGAGTTATACTGATTTACGCCAATGGGAAATTTGGCCCTTTTTAAAAGTGAGGCGCTTCAGCTTAACAAAACTCATTCAAAATCTTTTCCCTTTTTTCCTCTTACACATCAATAGATGAAGTCAGTCCTGGGTGTTTACTTATGTTTCCTTAAATACCAACAAGACAACAAAAGATATTTAAAACACCAGGAACATTATACTTGATGAGAGTGGGAGGGAAACATACAGAAATATACTCTTTCTTGGGATGCATCAACTCACACACCTTCTTGGAAAAGACAAAAGGGCAAAGAAAATAAAAAGCCTCAGGAGAAAAAAAATAGCAGATGCCTGTGTTGCTGTGTTACCTTCCACGTCATACAAAAATACGTTTTCCAAAGTTTGAAAGCACTTAACAGCACTCAGAAGTACACTGATTTTTTTTCCTTTTCAACAACAAAGCAAAGTTCCAGCCTCCCTCCCTCCCTCCCTCCCTCTCTCTCTCTCTCTCTCTTTTTTTCTCTTCTCTTAAAAAAAAAAAAAGTTTTGAGAATTTCACTTTTCTATTCACTGCAGTCCTGGCCAAAGTAAAGCCCTCTTTTACATTGACGTCAAGATCTTTACTAAGATTAGGGTTTCATTTCTCTATTGCAGCAATTAGCCAGGGAATGTATAAAAGGCTACAGGGAAGCAAGCTAGGACTCCAGAGGGAAAGCACTTTGCACCACAGACAGATAGCAAGAGAGAGGGAGAGAGAGAGGAGGGAGGAAGGAGCAAGCGAGAGAGGAAAAGAAAGTTTGTATACAGAGACGTAAAAAAAAAAGTCTTGTTGCACCTGGTAGCACTGGTGAAACAGAAATGAGAGTTCTGCTTCATGCTTAAATAGCTGAGAGACAATGGGATAGTAGGGGAAAGTTAACAATCTCTGCTTAAATTTTATAACTGCAGGGTACTGGAAGCACAGCTGCCTCTCGCTTTAATGTAGTCTTAAGGGCTACTGGAAAAGGGAACTTTTTTTTTAACATCTTAGCCTCTGAAAAATAAAGAGCAACTTAGAGTTGAATGAATTGCATGCAGAGTTATGGGTTTTGACCAGACAGATTCTATTTAACCAGCTCTACTGACTTTAAAGAAAGACACAGAGAGGCTGGGGAGCTTTTTAAAAATGTCTTTTAGTTTAGTTTTTTTTCAATGAGGGTACAGGGGGAAAAAGGGAGCTGAAGGCAGCCTGTTGAAGAGCAGCAGCAGGGAAGATGGGTCTGTTAAGCGTGGATTTGCTGATCACGCTTCAGATCTTGCCGGTTTTTTTCTCCAATTGCCTCTTCCTTGCACTCTATGATTCTGTGATCCTCCTGAAGCACATGGTGCTGTTTCTGAGTCGGTCTAAGTCTGCGCGTGGTGAGTGGCGAAGGATGCTGACCTCAGAGGGGCTGCGTTGCGTCTGGAATAGCTTCCTCCTAGATGCTTACAAACAGGTGGGTGAATGAGACTGGGTTTAAGAGAACAAGAGTGAGTGTTTACTCTGTTCAGGGGTACAGGTGTAAGGGATGTTCCTGTTGTCCAGGGGAGAGGGGAGGGTTGGGCATACTAGTGCTCACTGTTTGATGGGCATTACTGGAAGTCAAAATCAGTAGTAATCCAGTGGACAAGGTTTGGCACATGAGTTTCAAGGGCCTGGGTTCTACTCTCTCCTCTGCCAGTGACTCTCTGTGCAGTCTTGGCCATGCTATTTAACTGCCCCTCGCCTCAGTTTCCCCAGATGCCCTATGATGATAGTGACATTTGTGTTTATAACATGCTATGAGATTTGTGGGTGAAAAGGGTTTAATTCAATAGTACCTTTGTCAATTTTTAACCAGTAAAGATCCATGCATTTTCTTTAAATGTTTTGCAAAAATGGAGTCTTGAAATAGGAATCTGGGAACACTCTGAATGTCTATTATAATAAAGGATAAAAATAAGCTTGTGTGTGTTATAACATATATAAATAACACATATTAATATTCCACTTATTTCTTAACTTTTATCTTGGGAAAGGAGGTTATATGACAGTGTGAGTGGGTTTAAAACAAGAATAATCTTTTTCTGTTACGAAAATGTGATCTGGTAGAGCTTAAAAATGAACTTGACCCTCTGAGGGGCAGCTGCCTGGTGAACTAAGTTATCAATACTAATGGCATTTTTACTGCACAGGCTTTGTTTTTTTAATTTCAAAATTCTATACCAAGATTGATGAGTAAGTCTGTGTTACACCCCTGCAAGCAGTTGTATCCCATATTATAGATTTGGAAACTGAGGGACAAAGCAAGGAAGTGTCTTGTCATTGGCCATCCAGCAGGTAAGTACCAGAGCTGGGACTGGAACCCAGACATGAATAATTCACCAACCAGTGTTAAGTTAGAGCATATTGTCTTATTAGAGCCCATTCAGCTAAAAGTCACTCATCCAATGGAGTTAGGACATATGGAATAATTAACCTGTGATGCAGTCATTATCCAATGGAAAGCTGTACTGTGTCTACCTGCAGAATAACATTAAGTATTTATTCTCAACCAGAGCTGTTGGAAACTGTTGGCAGTGGTGTTTGCTTATTGATTAATTGTTATCTTGAATTCCTAGGCATGTATACATAATTTTCACTATATATTACAAATACAAATTATCCTAGCTATGCCAAATCCTAACCCACCACTGTACAAATCACACAATAAAGCAAACCTTATCAAGCCAAAAAATAAAACTTACTACTTCTATAGTACTTTCATCATCAAATCAATTCATGGACATTAATTCAATGAACTTCTCAGTGCCTTTGTGAAGTAAACTGGTAAATATTACTGTTCCCATTTTACAGATGGGGAAAATGAGGCAGCAAGGCTAACATGACTCGTCAAAGAAGGCAGTAGCAGAGCTGTGAGTAGTACTTACGAGTTCCCATCTGTTAGACTTGAGCTCTGAACATTGCCCCCACATACAGAGAAGGCTGGAAGTTCAAAACCTCCAAAAACCCTTTTCTTAATGGAAGCTACATAATTGCTGTAATTAGTAACATAGACTTTTAAGTGACATATAAAGCACTTTAAAATAAAGGTGTAGCATTAGGTGTAAAATTACTTGCTCTTTTGTGGACCTGCCAAGTCCTGCATTTGTGATTTGCATTTCCCAAGGTTTCGTTGATGGTATGAGTAACACCTAAAGGAGTGGGGAGCTTGGCATTGTGTTTGGTATTAACGATAAAATGCTAATCTTCAGCTCAGGTCTTGGAACATAATAAAAAACATTAATTTACATTTAAACAACATAGAATCAGATCACTTTTTATCCGCCAGGCTATGAAGGCTCCTAGAATGAAATCCTGGCCCTGTTGAAGTCAATGGCAAAATTCAGACTAACTGTAATGAGGACAGTATTTCCTCCCAGGTCTCAAAAGGAGTATAAATTCACAGCAGTGATTCTTAATGGAAAGCTCATATTGACTTTAAAAGTTCCTGATTCAGCAGCCACAAAAATCAAAGACATCATCAAAGTGCTTTGGATTGGGTCAGAAGACCATTGGTGAAGTCTGAGTGTTGTAGACAAACAAAGATGAGTATGGGAGCCAAACAGTTGAGGGCATAAAATACATGGAGAAACAGTTGATTGCATCTGAATCCTTGAGAGTCTTTTGCTGTTTCTGTACAGACAAAAACTGTAAACAGGAAGCCACTTTGTTCTCACAGGGTTCAAAGAAGAACAAACTTGTTCTGTGCCCTAAATATGAACAAACCAGGCAAAACAGTAAAATGCATGAACTGAAAGGCTGTTCTGCACAGTCTCTTTTTCCCCAAGGTAGGTTTTCCCAAGTCTGGAGAGGGACTTTGTGTGTCAGGACCTTTTAATTGTTGTATTCCCAACCTAACTCAGTAGGTCAAGTGAGTTGGAGTCTACAGGCATTAGAACTGAATAACAAATTGGTTGCATTAGCATTTCTGTAAACATGCAAGTTATTTAACCATTATTATACTTTTTCCCTTAGTTTTCCCCTTTAAAGCCTGGCATTAACAAAGCATTTACATATGTAATAAAGTCCAGCCTTTTTAGTAAAGCAGGTGCCCTACTTCCATTGATGTCAAAGGATCTTAAAGACATCATGGCATGCTTCAGTACTTCTCTGAATCGGGACCTTATTGACCATTAATAATATTTTACAGTTGTACAATGAAGATCAAGTGAGGCTCTCAGAATATTTTACAGATATTCCCAAAGCCTCACAACACCCATGTGAAGTGCATATGTGATACAATTCCCATGACTGAGAACGAAACATTGAGATACAGGTAGTTAAAGTGGCCTAAAGCAAGAGGGAGCATGTTAGCAGAACTGATGGGAATAGAACAGGAACTCCTACTCTTATCCACTGTGATGATATTTAGTAATAATAATCATATTAGTATATAACTGTTACATTGCTGCTGCACTCTTCACCAGTGCATTTGTAAACACTTTATCAAAGAGGTAAGCATAAGCTCCATTGAATACCTGGGGAAACTGAGGCATGCAGAAGTGAAGTGACCTGCTCAGTGTCACCAGTAAGCTTGCAGAGGAACAGAACCCCTATCTTCTGAACCATTCCCCAGTGCTGTATTTGGCCCCCTCTACATGTTACAAGTTTTGCACATTGAACTAGTTGTACAATTACCTTGAGGCCAGCTGCAATATGCAAAGTAGCCATACCATAAAAAGCTCCCACCAGCTATAAAGTTAGACCTTGAAAATGTATAGCTGGATTCCAGCAGAAGGCGGGGTGGGGAGGGGTGCCCCAGGGTTATGGCATTGTGGCTGACCACAAACCATCCCTGAGGCTAGTTGATCATAGCAGCCATGATCCCCCAGCGCTGGGGGTTTCATCGCTCTTAAGGCTGAGGCATCATGGCAGCTGGGATCTCCCAGTCCTGGGGATGCATGGGGTGCCTCTGTGGCTAGGAGCCCCTCTATGGAGGGGTTTCCTAGGCATGGGAGCTTGTTTTTTTTGCTGGTATTGGGAGCAGACCAGAGCTGGGTTCTACCTGTGTGGGAAATAAGGTGCAATGAATGAGATCTAATGCATGATCCCACAATCATACCTCCTGACATGAACATGTGGCATGGCAGGAGGTACAATTGTGTGAATCACACATTTAGATCCCATTGTACCTTTACATGCATGTGTAGAGGGGCTTTCTATTATGCAGCATTTTCTTTCCCAGCCAACAAATTGCCTTTGAGATCTTTATGTAGGTGTTGTCTACGCAGGATAATTGACTGGAATAGCTGCTGTTCAGGAACTTGTGTAGACACTGGGTTCTGAAATCAATGTGATAGAATAAAGCATTTACAAGGAAAGAAAGGTGTTACAGAATAGCCATTGCAGGATTTTTTCCACAGTAGCTATTTCAGTCAGTTTCTCCCATTGGAAGCCCATTTTTGTCCATCATACCCAAACTTGAACTTGTTTTTCCATTGTTGCCTTGTTGTTATAAATTATTATTGCAAGTTGATGCAGAAATTTGATGCAATCCTTTAGTTAAAACATTCCCATGTAGGCAGGACCTAGTATTAACAATTAAAGACTTTAACATCCTCAGTGGGCAAATAATGCGTACTTTGAATTGTTTGTTTAACAAATATACAATATTCTCTTTCACTGGAACTACTTATATAAGATATTTTCCACCCCTCAGAATAGGAATGGCTGAGTAATTCTCTTGTGTTTGTTTATTTTTCCTTACGTAAAATTTATCCGTGATTAATGTATTTCTTCCTGTGTCCGGAACTCTGATTTCTGATTTCAACATCTGCCAGATTCCGTGTTGATGCTGTCTGGCGTGGTATTTCTTTAAAATTTCTAGAACACAGGAAGAAAATGTGTGCTGTGTCACAGACCAATGTTCCTTAAAACCAAGTTAATTATCATAATGGGGAGTTAACAGGGTTAGCCGACAAAGCAGAACAATTCTTTATCAAAGAAAATGTAAGGGAAGGCGCTTTCTTGTTGTTTGGACACTTTTTTTCCTGCTCTAAGCTGTTCTGTAGAATTGTTGGGTGCTATGATCAGCCCCAGAAATGGGGAATGCATTGACTACTAAGAAAACATGTATATTTACTTGTCTAGGTGCACCTGGGCACACGCAAACACAAAGGAACCCTCCCCCCAACAATGTGTGTTTTAGGGATATTAAAATGGTTCTCATTGATTTATATGTCATCCATGTGAAAAACAAAGCAATGACATCACACCACCTCATCATGCACTTTCTATATGCCACATTTCTTCCAAAACTGCAGAAAATTTGTTATGGACAGAGTAAAGAACATTACTGTAACTATTTTCTGACTCTCTTTACCTCTAAGATCATGTACACTAGCACCATGATGAATCCAGTTCTTGAAAGTGCTGAAGGAGGGAAAAATCTCAACCAATGCCATTTAAAAATTGGATCTTTAATAGCTGTTGAAC